AAACCATAACTGTTGAAAAAAAAATGGTATTGCAACAGAAGTTTCATATCTGTAACACTACATTGATAACTTGGTGCTATTTAAAGGATATGATAAATGCTATCTAGCTAGAAATAAGAATAACTAGATTGCATTATTATACTTCATGTTAAAATGCCAGATTTTGATTGGTTAATATGAGGAAGATAATTTACTCTATCCCATGGCTCACGACGGGAGACAAATGTTTGAATATCGCCCTCTCGTGAAGACCTATCAAAAATCGACAATTTAAAGGACATTGAATTATTTATTCCGTTGCTTCTTTTTAGTATTTCAAGTTCTCTGTATGACCCATGTATAAATAAGACTGACTCCAAATAGGCATCATTATGAACATTTTTCTTATCTTATGCCATTCTTGCAATACATCAATAAAAGGAGTTTGAATAGATGAACGCTTCTCTGAATTAGGAATTTCAAAACCATCATTTTTATTATTGTGAATCTATTTTATTCCAGACAATAAAAATGAATTTTGACTAATGGAGAATGGAGATCAAGTGAACCCCACGTAACAAAAAATATCAACCGTTTACCGGTCTTAAATAGTCTAATAGGCTATGATTAAGGGGTAAAATACTATATACAATTACTGTCTTTTGATGAGGTAAATATGCGGTTTTATTGACTTTTGAAAAAAATTATATTCACTGAGGCCGACGGCCGAAGTGAATATCAGTTTTTCAAAAGTCAATTTAACCACATATTTACCGAAACAAAAGACATTTATTGTTTTATTCCATTTTCCCAGAGAAAACAATGTATTTGATGTCAAATATTTACCAAAACCAATTATTATATATTATATATCAAACATTTTTACCATAACGTTACAGTTAAAAGCGCGTGACGTTCAGCGCGGTGAATATCACTTTTCTCCGGGTGAATATGCTTTTTTATTCAAAATCCAATTCATAAAGAGAAAACGTACTAAAATAATACCAATATGGAATAAAGTACAATATTTGATAGAGCAATTATTAATAAATATTAGTAAAGAAAGTATATGCACTATGCACTACAAATGCTCGATTGTTGTGTCCCTTAACGATTCGGTCTACAATTGTTTGTTGGCGAAAGGAAAAACAACCCGATATCACAATAATGCATTTTTATGGAAAAGATAGAAAGTAGTATTTCGAAATATTTCCTTTTCACGTCATGTGCGTTGTGTTATAGTGTTTCTTTTTTTTTCCTGATAAGGCTTACACTTTGTAGAATCTGCTTTACGAATAGGAGAAAATATATATCCCGATTTCATCCAGGGGTAGGGGTGGTGATGTTTGGAGGTTGTATTATAGCTGGTTTACTTTTTCTTTGCATTAATGTGTAGTCAAAAATCGCAATACAATTCATACGTGTTTGAAAAAAGGTGTACATTTATGAAATTTTATTTCCATATTAGAGATTTTATCAATATATCACCACGCATAAATAACCCTTATAATTGATAAAAAGGCCAAAGCAATTCCAAATGTTTTTTTCCCAAAGAGAGCCATTTCATATTTTTGGCAAATTCCTTTAAAGTATTTTATAGAAATTCTTGCCTGCTTACTTGGATTAGTCTCGGTCATCTGTTGGTGTGTTCGAGAACTTTTGAAGGCACAATAAAAAATTGAGAGATAATCAAAACGAGGTCTGAAAAGTACACCCGAAACAATCTCAGGTCCATTTGCCCGAGGGAATTACAACCTTAGTTTTTATGTAATTACACAAATGTACCATTTTTAAAACGGAAAATTTGCCATCACACTATGCCATTTAAATCATGCCCGGATCAAAGATTTTTCTGATGGACGGATGGCATATTATGGACCTGTAAGGCCAGCAGCATCATCGACCTTATTGTAGCAAATTAACATATAATACCGACTACAGTGCGTACCACAAGTTTTCTGGAATAACCTCCATCAGGTACCTTCGAGACAAAAATGTAAGTTATGTTTTTGTTGGTTTATTCACCTTTGAATGTCAATAAAGCCTTTCGTTTATTCTGTACTTAAAATTAACACGCCTAATCGTGGATATGAAGGACATGTCGCATGTACGGTGAGTATTATACTTGAAAATAACGCGCACACGCGCGGATATCTATACTACTAAAGGAAAAATCCGATTTCGTTGAGCCGCAACTCCTCTGAAACTATACAAGGTCGGAAATATTTGTGATATGACGTATAAATGTAGTGTTTTGTACTTCCTAAGTTTGTCTTTGAAACAATCTTTTTTCCACAGAAAACGCCAATTTTTGAGAAAATATCCAAATTCGGAGAGACCGTTATCGATCCGTGTCTTATACCTACGCGCATGCTCAGTCGACGTACTGCCCGACAACTCGGTCCAACTTGCATCACTCAAACACTCTCACTAATTATTACAACTTGCTTCACTTTATCAAACTCGCACCACACAAAAAAAAAAAGAAGTATAACAAACTCGAAGAAATGTGTTTAATCATTAGATTGTTTTCTTCGTCTCTTAGTAAATTCCTCCTTTCTTGGAGCACCCGCATCACTCGACAAAAAATAATACAACAAACTCGCACCACTGAAGAAATATTTTATATCATCAGAGAGTTCTAGATTGTATTCTTCTTCTCGGAGTTATTTCTTCCATTCAAGGAACACCGGTGTAACACCGAGACAGAAGCTACTAATTGGACATTCAAACTCCTATGGAAGAACTGACAAACTAATAAAAACATAATGCATCAGTGCATAAAAAGAGTTTTTCATTTACCTGTGTATAATATGACTCAGGTTTCTTCAAAAGTGATGATTTTCTATAAATTGTTTGAAATTTCACAATGATATCATACTTTAACCTTTGTTTAAACCTGTTTATTTACTTTTGACTTTAATTATTTATCCCTTGTAATTTTTATTAACTGTGTATTTGCATTCAGGTGTCACAGGTCAAATTTATTCGTTCATTGTGTGTTAATTTACGTTTTTTGATTGAGTTAAGCCTTCCAAATTGATATTTTATAGTGTGTTTTTCTATGTTGTGATGTTAAACTATTGTTTCAGAAAAGGGAGAAGGTTTGGTACCATTAAAACGTTTAATCCCGCTGCAAATGTTTGCACCTGTCCTAAGTCAGGAATCTGATTACAGTAGTTGTCGTCTGTTTATGTAGTTCATACGTGTTTCTCGTTTCTCGTTTTTATATAGATTAGACCGTTGGTTTTTCCGTTTGAATGGTTTTACACTAGTAATTTTTTGGGGCCCTTTATAGCTTGCTGTTCGGTGTGAGCCAATGCTCCGTGTTGAAGGCCGTACCTTGACCTATAATGGTTTACTTTTATAAATTGTAACTTGGATGGAGAGTTGTCTCATTGGCACTCATACCACATCTTCCTATATCTATTTGAGAAACACCAACCCAAGCTGTGTATCACCATAAACATTTCAAGTAGTCTCCAAGCCGCTTGCGCGGGTTTTTTTCTAGGAAAGGACAAATTAAACACATGAAATAGATAAACATGAATACAGCCGATCGAGCCATTCGTAATATTTTCTCATTTTTTGTTCAAATGAATTAACCAGTATATAATTCTAATAATAATAAAAATAAACAAGCATTCTGAGAGTATTGCATGGCAATACATAGTCCCCTACCGGTTAAAAATTCATTGTTCTGGAACAAAATGCTATCGTGATCTATAACTTGTCATGGTGTAAACTATATACCAATTATCAAATCAATATCTTCAAACATGACGAAATAAAGTGCGGAAAAATGATTATTTGAGTGAATTTTCTAAGTCCAAGGACCATAACTCTGCACAAAATCATCAGACCGGAACAAAATTTGACCTTGATCTGTAACGTCATGATAAAACTATATACCAATTATCAAATCAATATCTTCAAGCATGAAGAAAAAAAGTGTGGAAAACTGATTTGTCGGACTGACGGATGGACAGACAGACAGACAGACAGACAGACGGAATGCAAACCTAAAGTCCCCTTCGACTTCGTCGGTAGGGGACTAAAAACCATCGTTAGCGTTTGTTAATTACCATTGAAAGATCGAAATATTTTTTTCGGCCAGTCCACAATATTTGTAAGAACCTTGGTCGATACAAAGGGACACAACACCAATAATATTAGGTATTGAAATTTGTTTTAAATTGTTTATAAAATGTATTGATTACACGGAATACAAACAGTTTGCCGACTAAACAAAGGCAGAACACAACTGGATACGTATTAACAACTAAATAGCTAGTATTGATACTTGTGACATCAAGAATTCTAGCATTTGTTAACTAATGCAAAAAAGGTTAATTCTTGAAAGAATATATACTAATGCGAGAGCAACCTGTACTATATAAATTTATGTTGATCAGTTGTTGTTGGCTTCGAACTAACTTTCAGTAATTGCGAGTACTCTCAAAGTCTGTACTTTGTGTCTTTTGTGTTTTTGTTAGTTATGTTTGTGCTTTGTATATCGATCTATTAAATGAGTTATGCCAGTTTTAACTTTTTAAGGTTGTGAAGTTACACCACTGTCCCTGTTTAAGGGAGGGTTGGTGCGACGCAAACATGTTAACCCAGCCGCATTCTGTAAGTGCCTGTCCCAAGTCAGTAGCCTGTAATTCAGTGGTTGTCGTTTGTTGCCGTTTATCCTTTTGTTTTTCGTTTATTATTTGTACATAAATCCGGTTAGTTTAGTTTTCTGGTTTGAATTGTTTAACATTTGTTATTTCGGGGCCTTTTAAAGCTTGCTATGCGGTCTGGGGTTTGCTCATTGTTGAAGGCCGTACGGTAGCCTATAGTTGATAACCATCTACGTCATCTGGTGGAGCCTTAGTTGTCTCATTGACACTGGATCATACCACATCTTCTTATTTTTATATCATCTCTTTTAATTCAAGCTACGCGTTTTCATCTGAAGGCTCAGCAAATTCGTTCTTTTAGTATTATAGATGAATGAATACACGACTGACATTGTCTCAATTGGTTTATTCAATCAATCTCATAAATCTCTATATATCCGTTACCACCAACAAAAAGTCTGTTTTTAGCCGCATTCGTCCAGATGCAATCAATGTCTTGAATCTTTTCAAACTTAGATAGAATGGTTCGAAATCTCTTCTCATCTTGTGAGATGACATATACAACAGACTTCCCCGCGACGAATAACTTCCCCGATAAACCAAAGGTTATACTTCTCGGTTCCCATATTTTATCGTTTTGCAGGAACGTTCGCGGTTTTGCTTCTTGAAAAGTCATAAAATTAAGTTGCTTGCTTTGGTAGTTTATGATTGCAAACCGAGCAGATTTCGTGTGAACAGCAATGTCATCTCTATAACCATCTATAATATGATTTGAGATCAGCACTCTGTGATTTTCAAATGTTTCTGATTGAAGAATGCCCCCGCTCATTGCAATATATATAACGTCATCACTTTTATCAATACCGCAAACCTTATTTTGAAAAGTATGACTTTGAACATTTTTTATTACGTCATTTTGAAGGTTGCATGTATATCCAATTTTTGAATTACATGTTATAAAAAATGTTGTAATGGATGATTTGAAACATACTTTCTTCGGATTATTCTCTATGGCAGCATATGCAAGTTTTATACCGCTGACGATACTGAAAAGTTCAAGTCTTCCATGAACTAGTATAGCGCATCGGTTCTCATCAATACTTACACCACATTTTATCGGTCCACATTTCAATTCTTTAAAAGAGAGATTCTTCAAATTAATTGATTCAAAACTATTTTCTAGCTTAAAGATTTTGCTCAATGCTCTAAAGCAAATAGATTCTTTTCCCCGTCGTGAAATCGATATTCTCCCGAAAGCGTCTATCTGACATAGTGTATCTGTAAGTTTTTCGAATCCAGCTTGTAATTTAACATCTGGAGCCTCATCCAAAGTAGATTCAATATGTTTAAAATTCTCGTCAGCGTTTGTTTTAATTTTCTGAATCGCTAAGAAAGTTTGTTGCTTAGAACCAAAGTTTTTCATTAACTGTAAATGTTCCAGCCATTTGTCAATGGCTTCCGATTCTTCATCTATTTGTTTAATGGTAGTACCGAATTCTTGCAGCATATCGCTTTGCATTAGTTTTGAATTTTTGATAAATTCCTGATGTAAATCATCTATTCTTTTCTTAACACTTGTCAAAACCGAATCTGCTTCCTCTTGAATTGCTTCAAACGAGGATAACAACTTCTGTCTACTTTCCCGTTTTTTCTCTGCTATTTTTTTCAATTTATTTCTCAAGGTTAGCAGTTCCGATTCTAAATTTTCTATATTTTCCGGCTCTAAATCCTCAATGTCGTCAATGTTTTGCACGTTTTCACATTTTCTGTGATCTAAATTAAGACATGATACACAGCAAGGTTTTGAATGATCAAAACAATACACTTCCAAACGCTTAGTCTCGTGAATCGAGCAATAATCGTCAGTTTCTTGCAACAAACTGAAACTTGCGTAGTTTTGTTCTTCTATAGCCACGGTTTTATGCGTCAAAGATTGTTTCAACCGACTATGCGCACTAGAACAATTCTGACAAAGAGCTTCAAGGCATTCGCAGCACCAGACAATAGCCTCTTTGTTGCTACCAAATCGTTTACATGCATGACAATCTTGTGTTCTAGTTGTGTTTTGTGTGTTTGATCCTGTCAAACATTCTGGAAAATCATATACCCAGTATGACTTGTTTTTTGTTGAATTCTTTGTTTGAATACACATCCTACAGACTGGACAATTGAATGTCTTTTGTTCTGGGTCGTCAACAGTTGAAACGATATATTCGGAAATGCATACTTCACAGAATATATGAGAACAAGGAAGTCTTCGAGGCGATTTTATGATTTCTAAACAAATAGCACAATCCGACAGAGTATTGGAATTGTCAGCCTCTGCCATGGTGTCGAAATGGAAAACGAAAGTAAAAAGTCAAGTTTAGGTAATATGGGAAACATAAATTGGTTTCGACTTAAACATGTTAAATTTCCGGAAATTTTATTTACATTTAAGGATCATATAAATACAGAATAAATACAATATTCTTTTTTAGTTAGAAATATAAACTAACGGTGCTGTGAATTGCTATTTTATCCGTAACTTTAAAACCACGTTCAAACCTATGATTGCGTTGGATAAAAACCGCAATTTTTATACGTGTGCTTGCAAAACAAATTTCTTGATAGAGGGGTCTAAATACAGCACTAACAACATTTTCCAAAAGACCAAACAAGTGAAACAGTATATCTTAACAAAACGCATTTGACTAACAGGTCGAACAACAGATGTTCTTAAACCCTGCTGACCGATTGCCAAATAAACGGATCACAAGATGTTACAAAATGGATCTTTTAAAATTATTAATTTAATACCAAACAGAAAACAATAAATTTGTAGATATATATATATTTATATATATGCAACTGGAAAATCATTTATTCATCGCAGAAAAAGAGAACAAAATACAAATCTTAAATGTCTTTGGGCTGACGAGACCAGAGATATACCCACAACTCTTCAACTTCGTACTTTATTTGGCATTTTTAACTTTTTGATTTGAGCGTCCTGATGAGTCTTTTGTTGACTAAACACGCGTCTGGCGTACACAATTTTAATCCTGGTATCTACGATGAGTTTATCAACAACCTCCAAATCTTGAAGCGAGCACACTATCGAGGGACTACAGAGGCGATACCCACAAAAGGAGTCAAGAGGTCAACACACAGTCTTGACTGAATAATAAAATGAGTTTTACTGTGCGTTTTGCTGTGTGTTTGTTTATTCCACATTGGCTGTAGGTATTAGGGAGGATTAAGATCTAAAAAAAAACATGTTTAACCCCACCGCAATTTTGCGCCTGTCCCAAGTCAGGAAACTCTAGCCTTTGTTAGTCCGGTTTGTGTGTTTTTTTTTTTTAAATTTTGGTTCATTTGAAGGTTTCGGAGCTAAGTGTGGGGTTCATTGCGCTGAACTAGTATAAATTATTGTTTATATAGGGGCTAGCTGAAGCCCGCCTCCGGTTGAGTTGCTTTGAAGACCCATTGATGGCCTTGGGCTGTTATCTGCTCTTTGGTATGGTTGTATTCTCTTTGAAACATTCCCCATTTCCATTCTATTGAACAATACACAGTTGTTTAAATAATATTGCAAGTTGGTCATCGTCCCGAGTATAGAATTGAACAGAGACTATGAAAGATCTGCCATTAACATCAAGTTCCCCAAAATAACACACATATAACAAATACAATCAAATTATTATATGTGAAAAAAAACCAATAACGCGGTTCTGGACTTGGGACAGGCACATAGACATGATAAACGTGATGGAGTAACGAGTTTTTTGTTATAGGTCTCTACACCCAACCCCACCCCTACCACCATTTAATTTTGAACAGATATAACAAATGTACATAAGAAATTATACAATATAAATGATACTTTCTCTTTTTATCATGATTTTTAACATTTTTTTTTTGTATCTAAAAGTTCCTATCAGCTCGCCGATGATTGATTATGATTTACTGTCATACTGATCAGATTTGTTTTAAGTATTTATTCATTCGTCATCTTTTTTCTGTTGACTAATAAATTAACACGATTTTCAGTTAAAAAAAATGAAATGTTTATTTCAAACAAAATGGTCTTTCTCATAAAATGTCAGAAATGAATAGTTAAAGGGAGGTAATACAAAAACACAAAATGAAGACAAGAAAAACTTCCTCGTCAAAACGTAACTCAAATAAAATGAGAAGTAGATTTGATCCATTACAAAGTGCGGCTTTTTACAATACTTGTATAACATATAGTCCTAAAATAAACAACCGTCAATGAGGATTTACCAAAGTACACACTGCCATGGATTTAAAGCTTAATTTAATATAATATACACATCATCCGTTGCGTAAGTCACGCGACATCTGTTATCTCCCTTTGATATAGAAATGTAAGCAAACAGGGAGAAAACATTTTCTACCATGGGAGGAAAAGTATCATTCCCAAGGATAAACCTTGACAGGGATAAAACGGTTGTGGTGACCGGCGGTAATACAGGTAAGCAGTCAAAAGTTCATTATTTAGAACATATATGTTTACGGTGCAGAGATCACAGGAAAACATGCATAGGGTTTTGTCATGGACAAAACAATAATGATAAATTAAATATTATTAGATAACAATAATGAAACCATGTTTTCCTAGTAATCATTTCAAGCTACACTCCCTGAAGTTAGCAACGGGTCGTTATAATGAAATTTATTTCCCATACAAGACCATTTCAATTTCTATTTTTAAATAATTACACACATATATATATTGAGCTAAACAGACGAGCATAGTAAATCTAGTCTTGAAAAATCATCGTTAGAGCAAAAAACTCTATTAAAATTTACGATGCCATTTTTTATTAATTTATTTTACTATGTCAGTTTTGAAAACAACGTGCCGTACAATTTGTCAAATATCATATCCACACACTAAACGCACAAGTAACTGTAGAAATGTTATGGAAAACTAAGTATTATTTGAAACAGGAATTTATCCTCGCTCTCAGTCCTCGCTAAATCGCTTAGTTCTTGGTCGTGCAGTTAAAGTCTTCCTTTGATTACATTTATGGGTGGTAGGTGTTCCAGAGGACAGGTAATGTTCGACAAAAGAGATGATTTCAGCTTCTCAGTTGCGAACTTTATTTTTCTATGTACCAACATTCCAGCAGCGCCTGCATATGGAGTATATATATCTCCTAGTTGATACGATATTCAAAAACTTGCTTTTCCTACCATGATTTCCTTGCTCACAAGGAAGCTATCAAACCAAGAGTTCCAAGAGATGAAATTAAAACCATTCCTTCGAAAATTTTACATACGCCACCAATAGTTTTGAAATATCTGTTTCACAAATGACGACGGATGTGTCGTAGCCACAATCCCGTCCTCTTTCCTCGAATTTGACCTACCGAATTATATTTATCACCGGGTTTGTACTTACATGAGCAACACGACATGCGCCACATGTGGAAAAGGATCTGCTTATCCTTTGGGAACACTAAGATCACATGTAGTTTTGTTTAAAAGAGGTCTGTGTTGCTCTTGGCTTTAGTTTTTAGTGTTGGTTTTCAGGTTTAAATGCTTTATACTTTTTGAATGTATGTCATGTTTATACCGGTATCTTGTCTATCTTTTGTTATGGAAAAGTCGTTTCAATTTCAAAATTTCACTTTCGGTCAAGTTCCAGAGTTAGAAAATTTACACGACCGATGGTTTATGAATTTGGTGATGTCTTGGTGTAAGATAAGAATAAACTACCAATCCGCTATTGCGTGATGCCTAATCACTTTATATAACGAGCACCTGGGATCACACTCTGTTTTTGGTGGGGTTCGTGTTCTTCGTGGGGCTTAGTCTTTAGTTTTCTATGTTGTGTTTTTGTCTCGCCTTGACGGAGTCAAAAAGCGAGACATAGGTATGCTGTTTCTGGCGTCGACGGCTGCGGCGGCGTCATCAATGTATTAGTTTGTGATTAGGTCTAGTTCATGGTTGGTAGGTCAATGATATTTGGTATGCAGTTGTATTAGCATTGGCCCATCTCATTACCATGGAAATTATTTGGCCCCGCCCCCTCAGTCAAGGTCAATTGACTTTGAAACTTTGCTTAGTTTACATGTATTAGTTTGTGATTAGGTTAGTTTATGGGGAACCACAAGTGGTAAGTCAATGATACTTGGTATGCAGTTTTATAAGCATTGGCATATCTCATTTCCATGGAGATTATTTGGCCCCGCCCCCTCATTCATGGTCAATTGACTTTGAAACTTTTGCTTAGTTTTCATATATTAGTTTGTGAGTAGGTCAATTTAAGGGGAACCGTTAGTGGTAGGTCAATGATAATTGGTATGCAGTTGTATAAGCATTAACGCATCTCATTTTCATGGAGAATATTTGGTCCTTACCCCTCAGTCATGGTCTATTGACTTTGAAACTTTTGCTTAGTTTACATGTATTAGTTTGTGATTAGGTCAGTTTAAGATGAACCACTAATGTTAAGTCAATGATATTCGGTATGCAAATGTATTTGTATTTGCAAGTTCCATTTCCATGGAGATTATATAACCCCACCCCCTAATTATGGTTCATTGACTTTAAAACTTTTACATAATGAAAAATTTACAAGCTAATGTTTGTGTTTAAGTTTGTTTAAAGGGAACGACTTATGAAAAGTCAATGGTATTTGGTTTGCAGTTGTATTAGCATTGGCACATCTCATTTCCATGGAGATTGTTTAGCCCTGTACCTTCAGTCATGGTTCATTGACTTTGAATATTTGCATAACTTACATGTTAAAGTATTGCTATTTTAATTTCAACATTTGCATTATCAAAATAACAAATAGGCGAGACATATCTCTGTGTTAACAGTTTATTTATACTGTTGTTGTCTTTTTGTCTTATTTCGTTTTTTGCCGTGCATTGCATTGTCAGTGTGTTGTCGACTTATGAGTTTGAATGTCCCTTTGGTATCTTTTCCGCATCTCTTTTAATAAGTAATATATCAGACATAATAGATATTCTGAAATATAACAATTACCTCGTTATGATAAATGCAACATCGTGTTTTACCTTAAATATGGAAAAATCATAATTCCCTCTTCCGAATTGGCATATAATTATTCCTTGGCTATGTAAATGTATCTGCTTTCTCTGTATCCTTCTGTGTGTCTTTTTATCTTATGCATGCACAATTTTTTTAATAAGAATAAACTACAGCAGACATTATACTTTACCGTTTTTTTTTTCGTCATGTCATTTCTGTCTAACCATTTTGATGCCCTTAAAATGTCTCCAATAATTTTCAAATACGATTTTCATTACTTATATGTAGATTTTTCGATGCATATATAATTTTATTGAAGTATTGTATACTTGACTTTGATGAGATCAGAGATTGTATTATTTTAAACTCTTCATTTTTAGCTCACCTGGCCCAAAGGGCCAAGTGAGCTTTTCTCATCACTTGGCGTCCGTCGTCCGTCGTCCGGCGTCGTCCGGCGTCGTCCGTCGTCGTCCGTCGTCGGCGTAAACTTTTTACATTTTGAACTTCTTCTAGAGAACCACTGAATGGAATGAAACCAAACATGGAATGAATGTTCCTTATGAGGTGCTGACCAAGTGTTGTTACTTTGTAGCCGATCCATCATCCAAGATGGCCGCCAGCGGGGAACTTAGTTTAACATAGGACCCTATGGGAAATGCATACAAATGACTTCTTTTAGAGAACCACTGAATGGAATGAAACCAAACATGGCATGAATGTTCCTTATGAGGTGCTGACCAAGTGTTGTTACTTTGTAGCCGATCCATCATCCAAGATGGCCGCCAGCGGGGGACTTAGTTTAACATAGGACCCTATGGGAAATGCATACAAATGACTTCTTTTAGAGAACCACTGAATGGAATAAAACCAAACATGGCATGAATGTTCCTTATGAGGTGCTGACCATGTGTTGTTACTTTGTAGCCGATCCATCATCCAATATGGCCGCCATCGGGGAACTTAGTTTAACATAGGACCCTATGGGAAATACATACAAATGTCTTCTTTTAGAAAACCACTGAATGGAATGAAACCAAACATGGCATGAATGTTCCTTATGAGGTGCTGACCAAGTGTTGTTACTTTGTAGCCGATCCATTATCCAAGATGGCCGCCAGAAGGGGACTTAGTTTAACATAGGACCCTATGGGAAATACATACAAATGTCTTCTTTTAGAGAACCACTGAATGGAATGAAACCAAACATGGCATGAATGTTCCTTATGAGGTGCTCACCAAGTGTTGTTACTTTGTAGCCGATCCATCATCCAAGATGGCCGCCAGCGGGGGACTTAGTTTAACAACGGACCCTATGGGAAATGCATACAAATGACTTCTTTTAGAGAACCACTGAATGGAATAAAACCAAACATGGCATAAGTGTTCCTTATGAGGTGCTGACCATGTGTTGTTACTTTGTAGCCGATCCATCATCCAAGATGGCCGCCATCGGGGAACTTAGTTTAACATAGGACCCTATGGGAAATACATACAAATGTCTTCTTTTAGAAAACCACTGAATGGAATGAAACCAAACATGGCATGAATGTTCCTTATGAGGTGCTGACCAAGTGTTGTTACTTTGTAGCCGATCCATTATCCAAGATGGCCGCCAGCGGGGGACTTAGTTTAACATAGGACCCTATGGGAAATACATACAAATGTCTTCTTTTAGAGAACCACTGAATGGAATGAAACCAAACATGGCATGAATGTTTCTTATGAGGTTTTGACCAAGTGTTGTTACTTTGTAGCCGATCCATCATCCAAGATGGCCGCCAGCGGGGAACTTAGTTTAACATAGGACCCTATGGGAAATACATACAAATGTCTTCTTTTAGAGAACCACTGAATGGAATGAAACCAAACATGGCATGAATGTTCCTTATGAGGTGCTGACCAAGTGTTGTTACTTTGCAGTCGGTCCATCATCCAAGATGGCCGACAGCAGGGGACTTAGTTTAACATAGGACCTATGGGAAATACATATAAATGTCTTCTTTTAAAGAACCACTGAATGGAATGAAACCAAACATGGCATGAATGTTCCTTATGAGATGCTGACCAAGTGTTGTTACTTTGTAGCCAATCCATCATCCAAGATGGCCGCCAGCGGGGGACTTAGTTTTACATAGGACCCTTTGGGAAATACATAAAAATGTCTTCTTTTAGAGAACCAATAAATTGAATGGAACCAAACATGGCATGAATGTTCCTTATGAGATGTTGACCAAGTGTTGTTACTTTGCAGTCGGTCCATCATCCAAGATGGCCGCCAGCGGGGGACTTAGTTTAACATAGGACCCTATGGGAAATACATAGAAATGTCTTCTTTTAGAGAACAACTGAATGGAATGAAACAAAACATGGCATGAATGTTCCTTATAAGGTGCTGACCAAGTGTTGTAACTTTGCAGTCACTCCATCATCCAGGATGGCCGACAGCGGGTTACTTAGTTTAACATTGGACCCTATGGGAAATACATACAAATGTCTTCTCTTAGAGAACCAGTGAATGGAATGAAACCAAACATGGCATGAATGTTCCTTATAAGGTGCTGACCAAGTGTTGTTACTTTGCAGCCGATCCATCATCCAAGATGGCTGCCAGTGGGTGACTTAGTTTAACATAGGACCCTACTGGAAATACATACAAAATGTCTTCTTTTAGAGAACCTATGAATGGAATGGAACCAAACATGGCATGAATGTTCCTTATGAGGTGTTGACCAAGTGATGTTTCTTTGCAGCCAATCCATCATCCAAGATGGCCGCCAGCGAGGGACTTAGTTTAACATAGGACCCTATGGGAAATACATACAAATGTCTTCTTTTAGAGAACCACTGAATGGAATAAAACCAAACATGGCATGAATGTTCCTAATGAGGTGCTGACCAAGTGTTGTTACTTTGCAGTCGGTCCATCATCCAAGATGGCCGCCAGCGGGGGACTTAGTTTAACATAGGACCCTATGGGAAATACATACATTTGTCTTCTTTTAGAGAACCACTGAATGGAATGGAACCAAACATGGCATGAATGTTCCTTATGAGTTGCTGACCAAGTGTTGTTACTTTGCAGTCGATTTACTGTTCAAGATGGCCACCAGGATATTTTATTAAATAACGGGACCAATATTAATCAAAATTTGGCCTCAATCATTATTTGGGTATCTGTTATGATTTTTATCTATCTTTACATGATTTCTTAAACCAAAGTAGAGTCAGGTGAGCGACACAGGCTCTTGAGAGCCTCTAGTTTATATGTAAATATAAGAAGATGTGGTATGAGTGCCAATGAGACAACTCTCCATCCAAGTCAAAATTTATAAAAGTAAACCATTATAGGTCAAAGCACGGTCTTCAACACCGAACAGCAAGCTATAACGGGCCCCAAAAATTACTAGTGTAAAACCATTCAAAGGTCTAATCTATATAAAAAACGAGAAACGAGAAACACTTATGAACCACATCAACAAACGACAACTACTGAACATCAGATTCCTGACTGTGTGTATAGCATCAACTTTTCTTTTTTTGTACAACTAGCATGTTATTTATTTTGTTTATGATGCTTATAAAAAGCCAGTTTGACCATTTCTCTTTTATTCTTTTTTGATTTTTGGGTATTATTTCTTTTTTATCATCTCCCGAAGTTTTTGCAAGTGTTCTTATTGATGGTTCTTCCATCAAAAACATTTACATTAGACATTTAACTCTAAAGGTTCTGCTAGAGTATGCAACGATACTTTTAATTTGCTAATGTCATTTAAGGTTGTATCATCAAGGTTCTAAAATGAATACAGGGCCGGGTTTGCATCGATTTTTGTAAGAATCATCTGTTATTACAAAGATAACTATGATTAAGCACAACAAAAAACTAAAGGAAATACCAATAGAGACCAACAAGTTTATAGGCTGCATATTGTGAGGGGACAACAAAATAGAAACATTTGTAAATCATTAGCTTAGGTAGTTGACCGATATCTTTAAAAATATGGGAAATCGGTCATAAAGTAAAGTAAATTTGTTCTTCTGAAAAGGTGTCAGACTTCTTTTCATAGATTGACATTTTTATCAAAGACCAAAGAAACATATCAGGCAAAATGTTTACACAATAAATATATGTATTCAAAGGTCCGGTCCATATAGGACTAATAATGTAAAAATGTTAAAGATCATTACACGACATAAAAAGGTCACCTATCCTCTAGAGATCATTACATGACATAGAAGGTCCCTATCCTCGCAATACACAATTTTAATAATTACCAATTGGAAGCTGCAGCTGGTTAATGCGACTTCATTTCAACACTGATTCTGACAATTTGCATGCTCATTGTGTATCGAACTAAGGAGTCAGGAAAGATGAGAATGCATATTTCATATCCATGTATCCGCAACCACCAGAAGACGCCAGTTTGTAATCGCAGGCACGTGATTTGGAATATCAAGTCACCTTTTGAACGGATAAAGAATATGTATTATTTTGCTAATGTTGAAAGAATGAGGTGAACTTCTTTTTGTCAAGTATGATTGCTATATTTCGTTTGGAATGAATTTAATTTTGCCAGTCAAAATAAAAATAAGGAGATGATGTATGATTGCCAATGAGAGAACTATCAACCAGAGTTCAAATAAAGTGGATGCAAGCAATTATTGGCAACCGTACGGCCTTCAACAATGAGAAAAAACCCATACCGTATAGTCGTTTATAAAGGACCCCGACATGAAAAATATGAAACAATTCAATTGAGAAAACTAACGGCCCAATTTATAACAAAACAATTAACGAAGAACAAATATGACAGACATGAACCAACGACAACCACTGAACTACAGGCTCCTGACTTGGGACAGGCACATAAAGAATGTGGCGGGATTAAACATGTTTGTGAGCGCTCAACCCCCCTCCTAACCTGGGACAGTGGTGTAACAGCACAAAATAAGAACCAACTATAAAAATCAGTTGAAAAAGGCTTAACTCATCAGATCGATACAAAGCAGAAAAACATCAAACATAAACGCAGACTGGACGTGGCAGGGTATTTATCCATCCCTCATCCCTAACAACAAAAAGGACACTAAGTACAGATCTGTGATTACTCGCAGTTACTGACAGCTAGTTCAAAGCCAATAACAACTAATAAAAGAAATCGTGTATCTAAGACTAATATATCTATCAGTACACATCCAACATCCAATGGATTTAATGTAAAGACGTCATTATCAGTCAGAGAAAAACATGACCTTGTGCAATGCCAAAATAAAGGTATCGACAGATTGTAGTACCGTTAAAGTGCATATGTGTTTAACAGAACTATTTAGTATGATTTTAATTTACTGATAACAAAAACAATATTTATACCAATAAAAACAATGTTCAAAGATATAATTACAGTGTTGAATTAGTAACCTTTTAGAATAAGTTTATTTAAAGGATTGATAAGTTTACCCGGATCGTATATAAATTTCCTGGCTCGGTAAACAATATCACCGTAAAATTTAGGATGTGCTATTCCGTCTGACATAAGTTTTTTTTCAGGTACCGCCAAACTTGCAAACCAAATCTTTGTATCTATTGAAGAATTTCGTAAAGGTTTTAAGTAATTTAAGTAATAATTTACCAGTAATACATATATTACGCTCATTGAAATCCAAAACGCCACTACAGACACGGGCATAACGAACGAGTTGGGATATATAAACATCGCAAGAAGGTGCCAGAGGAACATCACCGTCCAGAAAGACCACTTCTATTTTCATCCACGATGCGTTATTGATTGAATGTTTTATTTGTCTTTTTGACCAATATTGTTTCATTTAAGAACGTTGTGATGTGTTCTTGCTTGGTTATGTTGATGTTTTTTTGTCATATCATTTCTGACTATATGCTGACATGGGAAATGGAAATATTGACATAAATGCGAATTAGAAGACAAGAAGCAAATTCAGAAATAATTTCTTTTTCAAACTATAATCCATTTAAATAATTAAAATTGAGGATAACAAACCAACTTACTCTAGCTACCTGCAAGACACAGAGTTATGCTGACTTATCTAATCTGGTAGTTAAAGAAATGAAAATAACATTTGATAACTTTTGTGCGTCCGAAGCGATGTTCTGGATTTAAATTCATTAGGACCACTCAAAACCAAACACACAAAACCAGGGTTGTATATTATTTAAAATACGTAGAATCATTAGGACTTTAGAGAACAGTAACATACACACCCAATGTCTCCTCATTTAGCACTAACGTGAATTGTGATATATGACCTCTAGAAAATTCATGTTTGATGTAACGAAAAGGATCATCAATAAATTGTCTTTTAATTATACAGGTATTGGATATGAAACAGCCAAATGGATAGCTTTTCTTGGTGCCAAAGTTATCATTGCTTGTCGTTCTGAAGAAAGAGCAAACGAGGTAGACATAACATAAACTAGTTCTCTGATACATATTTAAATTTTTTTTTGCAGTATTCATGGTAAAATGTTTATAATTAATTAAATAAAGTCCTAAACACTTCTCAAAGTGAATGAAGGATACACAATATACAAATGTTAATTGATTTGGTTTTGTTGAAGTGAGAAACCATAGTAAATTCAAAGCGTCATTAAATTTGTGTTTGTGATACAAAAATATTTGCCTAAAATATTGTGTAAATAACCTCGTCGTAGGTAATTATATTAAAATTTTGTACGCTAGACGAGCGTTTAGTCTACAAAAGACTCTTCACTGACGCTCGAGTCAAAAACGTTCAAAAGTCCAAATAAAGTATGAAGTTGATGAGCATTGAGGACCCAAAATTCCGAATGGTTTTGCTTAATACAGTTGAGAAAATCTAATCCTGGGGTAGAGTAAAGTTAACACTGTTTCGATGACCGCTTGTTACTTTGATTTCTAGGCCATTAAACAAATTAAAGCAGAATATCAAGCAGAGAAAGACAGAGGAACAGATGGAATAATCAAAGATGGGGATCTGAGTATAGAATTTATGCAGCTTGATCTTAGTTCATTAAAATCGACCAAACGTTTCATTGACGAGTACAAATCGTCAGGGAGAAAACTTCATGTTCTCATCTGTAATGCCGGTATAGCAATGCATGAGCAAGGTATGAACATGTAGCCTAAGAAATAACTTTGGAAACAAACAAATCATCAAGGTATAATAAACTAAAGAGCTTTATATCAAGCGAAAAGAACCTTAACAAAAATAGCAGAAAAAAACGAGTGAATGGGTTGAAGAAAAGAATATCCAGTGGATTTTCACAGTGACCTTATGATAATAGAAATATAGATTCCACCATTGTAACAAGTGTGTTACGATATTTCTCCACTCGAGACAGATAAATTTTAATATTTAAAGCGCGAGGCTTGCCGAGCTCTTTAAATATTAAAATTTAACTGTTGAGAGTGGAGAAATATCGTAATACACGAGTTATAGTGGTGGAATCTGTTTCTCTAATGATTTTTATCCTTCCTTTTCAAAGATTTGCAGAAAATTGTGTTCTTTATGTGTGACGTCATCAGGCATGGTCGCCTTTTTTAATGACGTCACAATCGGGAATTCAGAAGAAATCAAGAAAATTTAACGTCATAATTAAATTTCGACCAATCATTTGCCGAGAACAGATATTTCAGTAGTGAGGAGAACAATTTTTTCACAATCGATTGGGAAATGTGAAAATAGTGACAAAATTAGAGAAATAAGAGGAAACAGTAGTTTACCGATGTTCATATCTTGTAAATCCATTTTGAATATATGCAAATTAGAAGAACAAAAATCTGAGAGAATCATAATTCCACACGGTGCGAGACCGGGTGTGTCGAAAGAGTGAACGTCCTCTGCTAAACATGAACCACAGGACTGACATTGCCATATATTCATCATTCATTTCTTATATCTTTATATATTGTAAGGTAATTTTGTAAAGTTAACAACAACGGATTGATTATCAATTCCTCATGCAAATGTAATCTTTGTTCGGTTTGTCTTTTGGTTGAAAACTACTTTAAATAATATGGAAGTCGTGTATTTGGCTCTCTTTTCCTAACTGTTTCGATGTTAACGTTTCAAATAAAGGTTGTTACATAAATGAACAACAACATTCAGTTAAGCAATCATATCTGTTTTAATTAATAGTTTTTGAAGTTAAATGAAGTATAACAGTTTGCTACTTTATTTATTTGTTCATGACGTATTGTAGCCATTTTGTCACTGTATGCGCTATAATAAAAAAAAAATAGTTTTAAAAGGAATATTTTTTATTATTCCAGCATATACAGAAGATGAAAATGAACTTATGTTCCAGGTAATATTTTCTTGTGTACATTTAATTTGTACTTACAAAAAGGGGAGAAGATACTACAGGGGAAATAAAAAAAAACTGTACGTCGAAGAAAAAAAAGGAAAACAACACGTTTTAAATGTCGTGCGTCCGAAGCGCTTTTCTGGATATACCTTCACCAGATCAAGAACGCTAAAAACCGAATATTTGAAAGCCAAGGATCTAAAAGAACCGAAACAGTTGAAGAAAAATACAGACAAAAAATAACATCGACTAGACATAGATAAATACAACAATTTACAAAAAAATACACAGAAAACCAAATATTGAAAAAAAACGAAACGCCTCAAAAACCGGTGTGAACTAATTTGCCTAAAATGCTCATCAGATTTTGATCAGCTAGTCAAGCTACTATTTTCATAACCCGTAGTAATTGGTTACTGCCTAATAATTACCAAATGATTATAATTACACCATCGGTACAAGTAAATTCTGCATTCCTAGTACATAACAGGAAATGTATTTTTATAGACAAGACAAGCCAAAACAGACATTGAAAAATCAAATACAACAAATACAACAAATAAAACCAATGCAAATGCAACACGACATGTCAAGACATAGAAGTTGAAATGAAGTTTTGAAATACCTTGGTTGACTTCTAGATTCAAGAAGAAATATTTGACTAAAGTGTATCTTCAGTTTTAAACAGATTTTAACGAACGTAATCAATGCATCACGGGTAAATTATTAAGTCAGGGATTTCGTTACCATAAATTACGTAAAACTTTTACTAAATTCTTTCATAGATACAAAGATATGATTAGTAAATTTGACTGTACCTGTAGAAAACTGATTAAAACGGTATCTCACATCCTAAATTTTACGGTAATATTGTACTTAAAGCGCGGAAATCACTATGTGATCCGTGTAAACTCATCAAACCTTTAAACAAACTTATTAGTAAAGGTTATCTTACCAATGTTGTAATTAGATCTTTGAATATAGTTTACATTGGCACTGATATCGATTTTGTCATCAGCAAATTAAAACATAACTAAATTTGTATTCTTTTCAAACGGGATGTATAAAGACACACCCGCGTTCATTTTGATCTATAAAGAGGTTAACTCCTAACTAGCCTACTACCTGTCGATACATTTATTTTTGGCATTGCACAAGTCATGTCTTCTTTGACTGTCCATGACGTTAAAATACTAAATCCCTGGGATGTGTTTTGGTTGATTTTATTCTCTGATGCATGATTTTTTTATTATTAATTGTTTTTGGCTTTTAACTAGCTGTCAGTAACTGAGAGTACTCTCAAATTGTACTTTCTTGTTTATGACCTGTTAATACTAATTGTAATACTTTTTTGTTATTTAATGTTATTCAGGGTTATATCTGGTCTATATACCAGCTTTGATAAGTGTTTGGTATTACTATAATTTTTCACTTATTCGTACTATGAACATCAAAATTATTTATTTTGTAAAAATATTTCCTTTCTCTACTTGAACTGTACACGTATACCTAACAACAAAATTATTTTTATTTACCTGTGTTTAAAGTAATTGCAAATGGCTGATATTTTTGTTCAAGTATATTGGTTTTCTTAAATTGTTTAATATTGCACAGCGGTATTACATGTTACTTTAATTATTCTTCCCTTAGTTTATTTATTTTGTATTTGCATTGTATCATAGGTCAAATTTATTTGTTCAGTGTATGTTCACTGGTGTTAATATGTCTTTTGATTGAGTTAAGCTATTTCAATTGATATTTTATAGTGTGTTTTTCTATGTTGTGATGTTACACTATTGTTTCAGATAAGGGTGAAGGTTTGGTACCATTAAAACGCTTAAACCCGCTGCAGTTGTTTGCACCTGTCCTAAGTCAGGAATCTGATGTTCAGTTGTTGTCGTTTGTTGATGTGGTTCATAAGTGTTTCTCGTTTCTCGTTTTTTATATAGATTAGACCGTTGGTTTTCTCGTTTGAATGGTTTTACACTAGTAATTTTTGGGGCCCTTTATAGCTTGCTGTTCGGTGTGAGCCAAGGCTCCATGTTGAAGACCGTACTTTGACCTATAATGGTTTACTTTTATAAATTTTGACTTGAATGGAGAGTTGTCTCATTGGCACTCATACCACATCTTCTTATATCTATAAAACGATTTCTGTAATATCATAAACGGTACAAATATTACTTCACCAGATGCGCATTTCGACAAATTTTGTCTCTTCAGTGATACTCTCGGCCAAAATATTTGAAAATCCAAAACTTATACAATCGTTGAAGAGCTGATCAAACTTAAAAGGACCTAAGTATAGCAAAATCTGGACAAAGAATCAGAGTTTTGCGTGAGGGAGATATATTTCTGAATCTATAATAATTTCTAATTTTTTTAACGGCAAATTTCAATCAAACAACATCCATATTTAAATTATCATTAATATTTAACTTATTAGGTAACTGTGTTGCTGTATGAGGTAAGCTCTATAGTTTATCGTAGAGACCGCAGCAACTTTATGGATAAAAACCGCAATAATACCATATTTCCCTTGAAATATTTGATATTTCCTAAAATGTTCATTGGATTACTATCTAAAGGAGTACACCATATCCCTAAATCATAAATGGATATTGCAGTTTTATAACAAAAGCAAAATGATACACAGCGATTTCTTTTCCGATTTTTTTGAGAATTTTATGCCAGTATTAGAACTGTCAAAACAGAACATCAATGACTAAATGATAACCAACATGTGCTTTTAAAGAAGATTGAAATTTCTTAACAGTAGATTACATATTTATAAACTTCACAATGTGAGTTGCACATTAAGTAGTTTGTTTTTGTAGAGATTTATCATTCAAAACGACCAGTTGTCAGTATGGTAGATGTTTTGTTTTAAAGAATACCCATCTTTGATGTTTACCCTCGTATAAAAACAAGTTTGTATTCCGCATTAAAACCTCTGCTGGTAGACTGTTAGTCCCCGATGGTATCAGCAGCCCAGTAGGAATTACTTCCGTACTGGCATGAAGATACGGATATTGTTTGATTAAAATTTGCTGTTAAAAATTTTTTGAAAATCATTTTAAGGAAAATATCTCCCTCATGTAGAGCTCTGATTCCTTGTTCGGATTTGGCTATACATTAGGTCCTTTTTGGTTTGATCTGTTTTTCGACATTTGTATTAGATTTTGGATATTCAAATATTTTGGCCTCGATCATCACTGAAGATACATTAGTTGTCGAAATGCGCATCTGGTACCGTTTATGTTATAACATGAGTTTTAAAATTCAATGTAAGTAACCAAAATCAGTATGCCACGAAAAACAATGAACTCAATGGATTTCTTTTTATTTCGTTTTAGGTAAACTACTTAAGTCATCTTCTTATAGCTTTACATTTGATACCAATAATGAAAGAGAGCGGAAGTGACGATTGTCGGATTATTATGGTATCCAGTTCAGCCCACTTAATGGCAGCTTTTGATGTAGCTAAAATTCAGGGAAATCATTTGACTAAGGACACATTTGACAGACTTAAATACTATGGAAATTCCAAACTTTATCAGGTATGACATGTTTTATATCATGATTCCTAACAAGTGTATATACTCAGGATGATTCACCAGCACGACCTTTTCATGATTTACCTTTATACTGGCTTCTACAAAAAAATGTTATACCTTTTCAAAAAATTTATATAATAACCGGATGAACTGACAGAAAAAATATGAAAGATATTCCATTATTGATTCTTTATCGGCTATCGAATGTGATAACGGAAGGGTAGATAAACCAGAGCCTTGTTGGTCTAACTTTTTATTTACTCAACACCTTTATGATTCACAAATGATTAATTTCTATATGGAATTTATGCTAGTTCATACGTTAAGATAACATTGAGAATGGAAACGGGGAATACGTCAAAGAGACAACAACCCGATCAAAGAGCAGAAAACAGCCCAAGGCCACCAATGGGTCTTTAACACAGTGAGAAAATACCGCACCCGTAGGCGGGCTTCAGCTGGCCCCTAAACTAAAATAACCTAAAGAAACTGTTTACATCAATACTAAAATGATTAAAAATACGATAAATCTTGATTGATTGTCTACATAGTGATTTTTTTTAAATACTTGAGAAAGAATATGGGTCATTGGTGTTGGTGGTAGTCTACATTTTTCACTCAAAAAGTGAGGTAAAATACGATTTCATTGTAAAGAAATATGAATCCACAAATAAAGCAACTTTGCGCGTCAAAGAATGCGGAAAAAATAAATTCAAACACAATTTTCAAAGCACCCAAAACTAATTACCTCGCTCAAAATTCAATTCCGATCAGATATGTATTCATTTTAAGCGGCGCACACACATTCCTCGAATACTGATAGACTTTCTAACAATGCGATTAAGTTGAACGCATTTTGTTATTTAATGTATGAAGTACGAATTTTGCAAGGAACATGTTTTAATTTGACTTCATATACAGATGTTTTTGCATTGCTATAATGTTGCAGTTAATGCAGATGTACTACATGAACCGAAGATTAAAAGACACCAATGTTTCAGTTTTGAGTATACATCCTGGCATCGTAGAAACAGAAATTAATAGAAGTTTTCAAGATCTTGGTCGATGGAAAGTTTTCTTTAGAATGTCTAAATTGTTTGGTAAGATTTTAAGGTTTAATTTGTGTCTTGTGAACAATTTTTCCTTAAAAGGACCTTTTCATTTTCGAATAGCGATTTTGTGTAATCATAACAGTTGTCTTCAGTAATGAAAATCAATTCATTGTTGCCTGATGAACATTGTCACAAGACATTTCGGCACCCAGACAAATCGGCACCCAAGTCCGAAGACATTTCGGCATCAATTTTGGACATATCGGGATCCGGACATTTCGGGACCAAGACAATTCGGCACCTCATTTTTTTTAAATATATATATTAGGAAAAATAAAAGAATTGTTACAGTAATATTATAATTCGTATATAAAATATGCAATACAAAATTTGAAATCATCATGCTCCCTTAAAGTCAAGTTGCAAATTGAATGTTCATGTGTTATCAGGACGAGAACTAGTTAACAATTAATACAATAGGACGATTTGGAGAGGTTGGTCAGTCAGGATGAAATGCGGGAAATTTGAACAGCCACTGAGAAATGGTGGTTTGTTGCATATAGGCCAAAATTTCGACTTGCTATAAGCCAAAACAAAAATAGAAACGATGTTTTTTTACATGCTACAAGATTGTACACATTATGTTTCCAATGATGGTTTCTGCAGGTTGAAATGCAGACAACTTTGGCATGTTTCTAAAGACTTTATAAGATTTAAGAATAGTAATCAAAATCTTATAAATTTGTAAAATGTTTGTCACTTTATGGACAAACAAGTGAAATTTCAGAATTTTTATTTGGTGAAATTTTAATTAAGATATCATTAAATTCACCTTTCATCTGCACAAGGATATGTTCCGTCTATGTGAATTCATCAGGCATGATCAACTTTTTGGGTGACAAGAAATGAAGATGACAACAAGAAAATTTTACGTCATTTATAATTAAATTCTGACAAATGAAGACCTTAGATCAAACAAACCATACACGTCGATTATAAAAAAAAAATATATATCGGTTAAAAATAGAAAAATGTAGAGTCAAACACTGCATCCGTAGTGATACGATATTTCTCCACTCGATACAGTGAAATTTTCAAAATTTATAACGCGAGGCTTGCGTTAATTGCCTCCCGATTGGAGAAATATCGTATTGGACACGATTCGGATGATGGACTTTGTTTCTCAAATGATTTTTAGATGATATGTTTGCAAAGTTCATTTTTCTTTTCAATGATCTACAAAATGATGTATTCTTACTATGTGAGGTCATCGGGCATGATTGCCTTTTTCGTTGCGTGTTGTTAATAATCGATATTTGCAGGTGTTACAAAGAACCCCATAGAGGGGGCAGAGTCATCAATTAACGCAGCAATCAATCCAGATCTCAAAGGAACAAGAGATGTTTATTTTCAAAATTGTAAAGCATCATCAACAAATTCAACTGCTAGGTAAAATATCTAAAATTTGTAGTAAATAAAAACACTTTTATTCAGACAAAGCAGATAATGGAATACCGACAACCTTGAACAAGAAGAGACAAACCTGACACGAAACAACAACAAGAAAAGACAAACCTGTAATAAAACACCCTTAACAAAAAAAGACAAACCTGACACAAAACCTTCAAACTTCGAGTTTGTTGTCCGTTGCAGAAAAAAATATATTCATGTCTCATTTGTCATAATAGTCCAACATAACTGTTTTACAAATGGCACCAGATAAACCAGTCGTGGTCAATTTTTATGTCATATACTAGTAACCATTAGATTAGTAATTTGAATTGTATTTTGATAAAATGAATCAATGGTTTGTTGGGTTTATTGACATTTTCGATCCTTTGTATTATATAACAATTCTAGTTGTAATTGACCTCTCATTGCAACTTTTTCAATCAAGATTTAAATAAATGTTTTTGCCTTCTCTATTTTCATTATAAGATTCTTGTATTGCGTTTTTTCATTCTGGGGTGAAATGATATGCGTGACTTCTTACAGACTGTTACTTTTAAACTAAATGTTTCCATGTCAGTCTAGTTCATAGCAAAGTCCATATTCCTATCACATTACATGTAACATGTTTATTTTCTGAGTATTGGTTTGAATCGTAACCACTGAACGTTAAAAATCAATCACAATTCATAATTCCAGGAATTGGCAAATGTTAAACTTTTTTTTTGTCTTTCAAACCATTTTGAGATTTTTTTTGTTATACTTATAATAAATCGGAGGTATTTAGTTGATGGCTTTTCTTTTTCAATATTCTCCTTTTGAAATAAGATATGTATGGTAGATCTGTAGATTCGCAATTTATTTTTATGATATAGTTACACCTGGGACTATTATGCTATTAGAATAATAGTCCCAGGTTACACCAACATTTTAATCGGCATAATTATTTTTAAACAGGAATATTGTTAACCAGGAGACATTGCTGAAGTTTTCACTTGAACGTTTAAAAGATTATCTTACAGAAGATATAGCAAAAGATTGGATGCCAGAAATTCAGATTTGAGCATGAAGTAACACGTATTAACAATGATGCAAAGTGTATATTTTAGTCAAGATATGCGTTTCATTGAACTGTGAAGATATCATTCAATTTTCATTCTTTCTTTTCTTTTCTTTTCTTTTATTTGCAACATTTAAAAATATTTGTATTGTCTGATAGACTGATATCTTATGTGTCCATTGTCAGTTTTGTATATTTTTGATACCTGCCTCCAATTAATGTATACATTGTTCTTATTATATTAAAACTCATCAGAGATACCAGGCTTATATTTGTACGCCAGACGCGCATTTCGTCTACATAAGACTCATCACTGTCGCTCGAATAAAAATAGTTGGAAAGCAAAATCAAATGCGAAGTTGTAGAGCTTTAAAGTGCCAGTCTTTGTAAGAATCAGGCAATTTAGAACAATTTCAAAACATGGCCGAAAAAACCCACTGACCTAACCACCCTAATTCGAAGGTACCCTCATCCTGAGTTAACAATGGTAGGTCTTTCGTTTCTGCGTGTTAGGTAATTCGAAAAATATCTAGATAAATTTTTGTTAGAATGATAGCAAATTATGGAGTTATCTCCCCTTAATTGTTAATTTCTAGTGCATTTCAACCAAATGATATCTTGAATTACCAGGACAGGGAAGGAAAATGAATGTTATATTCATATACCATTATGCATTCTGAACTTAAATTAATGTAAAGCTGAGTGGGTTTTTGTTTGTCATGTGTTCACCACTGCCTGATTCTTAGGCAGATTGGCACTTAAAACTGAAAACTACAGCAAATGAACTTTAGTGTTTCGGATAATTCAACATTTTATATAAACAATATAAACCTATCAATGATATACTAGTATGTCAACATGAAAGTGCTGACTACTGGGTTTGGTGATACCCTCACGGACGAAACGTCCACCAGCAGTGTCATCGACCATGTGTTTAAACTCATCAAAGATACCAGGCTTATAATTTTGTTCCCCAAACACTACATTAGACTCATCAATTCCCCTCGAAAAAAGCCAAAGGCTGTTGTTCAGTGGTTGCGTTGGTTTCCTGTTTAAATTGATTTACACTATCATTTTGGACCCTTTATAGCTTGCTAAGTATTTATATTGGAAGATAAATCAAATACGAATTAGTAGAGCTTTGTAAACCTCATTTAATGATGACCTCCGAAAACTGCCACTTAATCCGATGGAAAAATAATACAAATACAAATAGACAGACAAGCACATGCATCGGAAACTGATGATTTTTCTAGGTCTTCTAGATTTTTATTTCATGTCATGGATTTAAAAAAAGGGTAAATCATAGTTTTTACCTGTGCAAGAAAGAATTTGTGTAGGCCTAATCATTCAACAGAATGGTTCTTCCTGATCACACCCTCGATTCACTTTTCAATGTTGACATTCTTTCCTTTATAATAACTGAAAATGCTTAGCATCTGCGTAACCTATCTACAGCTGCCAAGGGTAAAATTAAAGTTCGCATGCATACGGATTCAAATGAGGGTAAATAATTAACTATCAGCCATTTTTAAAAGCTTTTTTGATCAAATTGAACCAAACTGATTGATGATTGCAACATATTATTTCAATATTCCGCTTTTATAAATTTTTGAAAAAAAAAATAAACAAAAAAAAAAAAAAAACGTATATTGTGTTTTGGTCCAAACATATCTAATGCTTGTCACATAATTTTAAACGATCCTTCAATCACACAAGGACAAATCAAATCCATATCAGCAGCTATTTATTTAGGACGGTTCACTAAGTCAAATTCCATTCAGTATAGCCTGTGATTAATTTCAGTTAGAGGATATTTTGTATAAAGAGTAACAAAGCTTATTTTGGTTTCCTTGATGTTCTGAAATACTTCACTAAACTCATATCCAGGGCGGTATTGCGCATTATTGGACGGAACATGTATCAACTCACCGCTATATATTGAAATAAAATCGCATTATGTTAACCAATCGGCGCGTTTTATTGACGTACAATGAATGTAAAGCACAGACTCTGAGGGTGTAGAGACATGCAAGATAACAGTTCATTGAATTGCAATGATATATTCCAGTAGACCTTAATCAAAGGTTAGCAAAAATCATTTTTGCTATCATTGTAATAGTGCAATATCGCTTACAATGGAAAGTTAGACATGGTTTTATTTTTCATTTCTAAAGTTTTACCGAACAGTAGAGTTATTTTTTTGCAGAAGTTGGTGCATATTATCCCTCGAAAACATTTAACATGAGTTTGCTTCTTTTAAAGTATAATATTTGTTTTGCAACAATATAATCAATTATTAGTGAAATATCCCCAAAGGACGTTATTATATACAAACGACAATATATAAACAGCATAAGTACAATCCCATTGGCGGAACAGCTGCATTTATATCAACAGGGCAACACCATTGTTATCCCCATTCCGATCTAACCGTATGAGCATCGATTTGATCATATTTTTTTTTTATTAAAAATTGATGAAAACCAAATGGAACAATCTATGTTTCTCGAATAACATTCAAGTATAGATTTGAGACCAAAAATTTAAAAAGGCAAAAAATTTAAATTAAAGAAAGCACAAACAGAACAACCAAAACCATGTTCACGAGTTTTGCTCATTGTCGATAGGTCGTACAGTGGCATATACAATGTAGTTCCTTAAATCCATGCCATTTGGACTCTGGTGGGTATTTGTTTCATTTGCAAGCGTACCACAACTCCATATTCTTACAATGTCACTTTTTCCCCTAGTGAGCTGCAACCTTAATTTTGCACAATACCATACTTTTCATAAACTGGAAATTTTCAGACTAACTGTATCACTTAAATCATGCAATTACCGATGCATTGTCGACTGGGCGGATGATTCTACCGGTGACTGACAGCCCATTGTCGACTGGGCGGAAGATACTATCGGTGACTGACAGCCCACTGTCTACTGGGCGGATGATACTATCGGTGACTGACAGCCCACTGTCGACTGGGCGGATGATACTATCGGTAACTGACAGCCCAGTCGACTGGGCGCAAGATACTACCTGTGACTGACAGCCCACTGTCGACTGGACTGAATGTTCCCTCGGAGAATGACAGCCCACATCAGTGGTACCTATCAAGTGCATGGTATCTTTTTCTCTACCTGTCATAACGGTAAGTTTACTACACTGTTAGAAAAAAACAGAAATATGACTTAAAACCAGTCTTGCTGTAACAAAGCGACAGACAGTGGATATTGTTTGCTTTATTTTGGAGTTTTTGGCTAATCTATTGTCACGTTTAATTAACGATACTGTACAAAGAAACAAAGGGCAATAATCATGATAGAATAATACACTGAGCAGTTATCACAGGGCATTCAAATAAAAGTCAGGATTATTTAATATGAAAGAACCTTTAAAGTTAGGAGGATGACTATTTATTAATATTTTAATGTTCTGTTTTTGTAATTTTTGGCGTAAGTTCTAGTTCTCGCAAAATATCTGATGTGAGATAAGATTTTAAAAGTTCTTTTGTTGATTCAAACAAATAGGTTTGCATATCTTCGCTCCTGAAATAAATAAATAAAATATATTAAACATAATCAACATCATCTTCATCTTACTAATGTTTATTGTTGGATATGTATACTGATTTATATTTTATTCCTTAATACATGATTTTTTTATTAGTTGATATTGGCTTTGAACTAACTGTCGGTAACTGCGAGGACTCTCAGATCTGTACTTTGTGTCTTTTTTGTTGTGGTGGGGGTGTATAAACTCCCTGCCACATCCGGTCTGTGTTTTTGTTAGTTTTGTTTCTTTTGTGTATCAATCTGATGAGTTAAGCACTTTTCAACTGATTCTAATAGTTTGTTCTTATGTTGTACTGTTACACCACTATCCCATGTTAGAGGGAAGGTTTGGCGCAAACGAAATACGTTTAACCCCGCCACATTTTTTTATGTGGCTGTCCCAATTCAGGAACCTATAATTCAGTGCTTGCCATTTGTTGCTGTATATCATACTTGCTTTTCGTTAATATTTTTGTACATATATCAGGCCGATAGTTTTTTCGATTGAATTGTTTTACATTTGTCATTCCGGGGCCTTTTATAGCTTTCTATGCGTTATGGGTGTTGGACATTGTTGAAGACGCGTACGGTGACCTATAGTTGTTAACTCTACGTCATTTGGTCTCATTCGAAATCATACCACATCTTCTTATTTTTATTTTATAACAATGAATAAGCAATTGCAGAAACAGCTCATTGGTTCATTGTTACTGGTCGATAAATGAATGTTACAGTCACAATCATCCTTCTGCGGACGATATGTTGTTCAGAATGTATTTAAATGCCCTGAACATCCTTCTGCGGACGGTCTGTAGTTCAGAATGTATTTAAATGCTCTTAACATCCTTCTGCGGACGGTCTCTAGTTCAGAATGTATTTAATTGCTTTGAACATCCTTCTGCGGATGATATGTTGTTCAGAATGTATTTAAATGCCCTGAACATCCTTCTGCGGACGGTCTGTAGTTCAGAATGTATTTAAATGCTTTGAACATCCTTCTGCGGACGGTCTGTAGTTCAGAATTTATTTAAATGCTTTGAACATCCTTCTGCGGACGGTCTGTAGTTCAGAATGTATTTAAATGCTTTGAACATCCTTCTGCGGACGGTCTGTAGTTCAGAATGTATTTAAATGCTTTGAACATCCTTCTGCGGACGGCCTGTAGTTCAGAATGTATTTAAATGCTCTGAACATCCTTCGGCGGATGGTCTGTAGTTCAGAATGTATTTAAAAGCTTTGTGTTATCCTTGCAGTTCTGATTCCTTGTCTGATTTTGTCATTACTTTTGGGTGTTTTATGTTTTATCAGCTTTTAATTGTTCGAATTAAGACTCGGAACAGCATTTTCATATAGTTTGGCCTCGAGACATTGAAGAGACAAAAATTGTCCAAACGGTATATGGTGCAGTAAAATTTGTATCTTGAATATTATATTTTTATACCATTTTTAAAAATCAGATTTTCATTTGCAATAAAGTTTATAAAATTTCATGCAACTTTATAGCATAACAGCCTCTGGGTGGCTAATGCAAATCTCTAAGATTATATTGATTGATATTAACATTTATAAAATAAAAAGATTGCCCAAAGACGCAATTTTGAAATTGGTTTACCCTACTTCAAATTTTTATGGAGTGTTTGTGAAATGATAAGTTTTTTTTATATAATTACCTATTTGTCCACACAAAATATATAAGTAAATACATATGAATTGTGTTATTGTTGGTTAACAGCAAGTAGTTTTTAATTTGTTTTATTGATGTTGAATATAAAGAAGCAATAACGTTAACTTATGTGTGTTGGCATTATTCGATTTAAATGTTGTATATTTAATTTTACTTGGAAATTATTTCACCAATTTTCATTCAGTCTGATTATGGTTTATTTTGTTTTCTCAATTTAATTTTGTAGTATCAGTAATTATTTATTTTATAAAACGGTTAGCGCAAACATTTATTCTAAAAGTCTTAATTCCAGTCTCTTAAAGGTAAATAATAACATTTATTGAAAAATATTACGAACCTGGAATCAGAACTTGGCCATCTTGGAGCTGATTTTGACTGTGTATAATATGCTCTACTTATCCCTTCTAAATCAGGAGTAATTGCAGCATAAATAGAGGTTGCGGCTCCATCATGAGGTGCCTTCACTTGGCCTATAATTTATAAATGAGCAATAAATATTAACGTAATATTAAAAACATATCTCATTTTTAAAATCAACCTTCACGATTCATCTAACAGTGAGCAACTAACAAGCGATCAATCAAGTTACTGTTTTCAAATCCTCCTCCTCGTCGTGATCCTAATTTTTCTTTGGGCTTTCTTAGGTTTTAGGACGTTTAAATAAAATAATTGTTTCCAAACAGATCAATACGAATAAGAACAAATGTGTCAAGTGTTCAACTTTATATAAAAAACGTTTTTCAAATTTAAGAAGTAATATACGACATAAAAACAATTGCCTTATATAAAAACTGTATTTTATAAATTGTCATTTTTTGTTTAAAAATATGGTAACATTAATAGCACTCATATGGTAGCGCTACACATATCTCTGCATTAACATCCAGACACAGTCACAGTTTTTAATTTGACTTATCTCCTATGTTTCTCATATATTTAAACCGTTTGTTGAGAACTTTTTGTAAAAACAACAAACAGGAGCAACACAAATTGGACTGTGCATTTTACTGTTGTCTGGTTGTACATATGTATCCACGTTGCAGACGTTGTATAGGTTTCCAACTACGACAAAGTATAAATTATTTCTTTTAGGGAGCAACCATTTTTTTTAATAGTTTTTCGACGCTATCAATCATTTTTTTTTCAAAATTTAACACTATAAGGTATGGGGAAAATCTGGATTCAGAATATTTTTTGTCATCTGCTTGACAACAATATATTTTTTCATCAAATTTGGGATCAGAATAATTTTTTAGGAAAAAACCATATCCCCCACCTTTTGGAAGTTAAATGGTCGTTCCCTTAGTGAAAACAGCCGTCAGCCGATACGCAGATTACGTCTTCCCTCATACGCAAGCTGGTGTTTTTAAACATTGATAGATTTGTTCATTTAATCACGGTAATTTCAAATTTTAATCTAGAAACGCATCGAAACGTTGGGCATGTATATGAATAGATATTTGTGACTATGATTATTTATTCTTTTAATGGAAAGAAAAAACGTGGTATAACTTACACAAGCAGGTATAGCAGCATTTCAGACAACAAAAAGCACAGCTATCTTCCTCTTCCCAGAATTTAGTATTTACTAAAGAACCCGGATGAACGCAACAAATTTCAATTGATGTCTTCTCTATCACTTTGTCTATAGAATACATTTGCATAATCTATAACAAAAATTAATGGAAGAAAAGTTTAATAATAAAATTTAATATCACGACCTATAGTAAACTGAACAAAAAATAAACTGTATAAAATGACTACATGTAACACTGTCATAGTTAAAGTTCAATGGTTGAGATGATGTCATACATTGTGTTTTATGTTTTTTGTACTGATTAAAACAATCTTAAACTGCCACAATTCCATTGGTTGAAAATAATCGTAAATAGGTCCACTTTATGTCACCATCCTGACGCTGTGTGGGTCATATAAACGACATTGAAAAACAAACTTTGTGATGTTGAATGTTCAAATGTTCAATGAACGTTTTTTATATTGAGGTCTACTTTATGACAATATTCTAACACAAGAAGGGCTCTAGAAGAGATTAGCAAAATACTCAAATAGTCAATATACTTTTGAACTTGAACAACATATAAAAAAGGCTGTAGGTTAACCACCAAACGTACTGCTTTTTTTTTTTTATAATAATTCAATTTGATGCACCATTATTATTTAAATAATTATTTTGTTTGCAAAAATTTCCAAACATGTTCAAGTGAATTATTTCATTCTGTGGCAGAACAGACGTAAGACGATACTTTGACACCAAAAATTTCACCGACGGGATAAATTGTGTTGACAAAATAATTGATTGGCATTTGTACATAAACTATGATATTCATTGATATATATTGGTTCATACATTATGTTTGTTAACATTTGTGGATTGCCATCGTACCAAGGTTCTGGATCCGTTAATATTATTGGTCTTATTATATAAATGTATGTATAATATCATGTGTGAGAATAGTGAGAGTTTGTCATATTGCTATCATTTTGAATCATTCTATCTCGTTATATTTATATCATCCGTTTGCCCACAACGGCTCTGAATTTGAAAGAAGATGCTTAATGTTTAAAGGTACCCTAAAAAAAATCAGTAAACTATAGTATGAAAGCTGTGTGAACTACTAACGTTACTCTCGCAATGCAAAAGTATTCTCAACCAGAACTTAGTGTTTTGGGTATTATTTTTGGTTTAGTTTTGGTCCTACAACTGTTGATTTTTGGATTAGAATATTAACTTTGGTTTCGAACACTATTCGAACACCACTATTATAGAATTATTTTTTTAAATGCGCCTTTTGGTGCACGAAATTAAAACTCGGTATATCATGTACTAAAAGGTCATTAAAGATGTCATTTTTTTTTTAATTAATATTGATTCACTCATAGGGTCTTTGCATCGGAAATAAACACATTTATTCTAAAACCAGTTGTTGGCATGATACGGGCTTGATTTTCATATGATGAAGAAATAATCTTTCAATCAGTTTAATTGAGGTCTAGAGCTGCCATGTCAGTAACTGCTAGTAGTCCTTTGTTAATTTATGCTATCATTGTCATTTTGCTTAGTTTCTTCTGTTACCTATTCTAACATCGGACTCGGACTTCCTTTAAACTAAGTTTTACTGTGCGTATTAATATGTGTTTGTTTATTCTACATTGGATAGAGGTATAAGGGGAGGGTTGAGATCTCACAAAATGTTTAACCCCGCAGCATTTTTGCGCCTGTCCAAAGTGGGGAACCTCTGGCCTTTGTTAGTCTTGTATGTTTTTATTTTATTTTGGTTCATCTATATGTTCCGGAGTTTAGTGTGACGTCCATTTTCTCTGAACTAGTACACATTTTTATTAAGGGGTCAGCTGAAGCCTGCCTCCAGGTGCGGAATTTTCTCGTTCCTTGGGGTGTTTCCTGCTGTTTGGTCGGATTGCTGTCCCGTTTCCGATCTCAATTTTAATTGTTTAAAACATGATTCATATGTGAAATAATCAGTCCATATTGACCTCTTCAAGTCTTAAAAACAGGTTTTCACCTAGTAGCCTGTTGGAATAGACATACATACTTGATATTCAAAGGAAGATCAAGACTATTTTAATTTACATATGTGCCTAGTTTAAGATACATTTAATATTAAACATTTATATTTCCAATATTTGTTTTTTAGACCACTTACGAGTAATTAATTTTTAAAATGTGCGTATGTATAAAATGAGATTTGGGTTATACCTCAATGAAACAGCAACCCAACGATACGAATAACCAAATGACAAAATGGATTTTATAACCTATCCAAGGCTACTCGTTATTATTATTTTCTTAAAAACGTACAAAAAAGTCATGCATGGTAATATTTTCTAACTGGCGTAATTTTGGATTTCGTGAGGTGTGATACAAGCATGGGAGAAACTTCTTGTCTTGAATAATCAGGTCACTCTACATAACTGTCAATGTATAGACAATAACTGTTTAGTGTCTTTAAATATCAGCTGTATGTGTACTCGTCTCGAAACAGGAGTAATAGCTCGCTGAGGCGCACATTACACCTGTTTCTTAGCCTCGTACACATACAGCTGATATTTAAAGACACTAAACAGTTATTGTCTTTATCCTGCCATTAATTTTGTACATTTTTTTCCATCCCAATCGTTGAATTTGTTTTTGAAAGAAATCGACATGACTTAAACGCGGACCGCAATGAGGACCCCAAATTGAACTGTGACGTAAACAGTAATTTGACATAACCGTTCGGTCGCAACAGAAGCAGGATACCAAGAGACTATATACGTCTAGTATACGTATATCGCTTCGTGTTATCTGTACACCTGTATTAGAATAGTAGAAAGGTCGAATACAGGATAAAAAGTATTGTTTTTATTTTTTTAATGAATACTTACTTGATATAATTTTGTTTTTGCAAACATTCTATAACCATCGTAATGATGAGGAATTTTCCCAGCGGCATAGTCAGGATCGAAGCCTTTAGCTTTTTTGTGAGCCTCACCAGATACAAGTATAATACGACAGTCGTTTCCAGAGACTTTCATAATAGGAAGAAGATGCGCAACAATGAGGAAATGGGATAAATAATTAACCTATAAAATATAGATATTCAATACGTAATAAAACATATATAAAATTAGGAAGGGTTAACTAAAATTCATTATAAATGTTAAATATATATATATATATATATATATAATCTTTAGTTCTTATCCTTAAGATTATTTGGTCATTTTTAAACAAGCATTGCTAAAGTCTGACTGTTTTCCTTGATTGCACCAGTCAAAAACTTTTTGAAATTTTGAAAATGAAATGATTTGCTTACATACCGAACCTATTATGTAAGCGGAAACACTGGTATTTTTTCAGGCTTAAGGTGTTTCTAAGTCATTTAACCCTTCCGAAACACACTAATTCAATCCGAGGTTTGCATTGTGTTTTCATATGCTTGATATGTCTTTCTGTAATGCACTTTGCTATCATGTTTTATCGCTGTATAATTGCAGCCATTGTCTATTGTTTTGTCCATATATGATAATTGATTGTCTCATTCGCATTGTTAAACTTGTCGTCTCTTTTAATTCCAACCTTGGATTTGCGATGGATGTAAATCGTTACATACTTTTAACCATTAGTGGGGGAGTAACTGCTTACTGTCCTGGAGCATACTATTTCTTTGGTCGGGTTGTTGTCTCTTTGACATATTCCCCATTTCCATTCTCAATTTTATATTTCACCAAACGCTGGTTTTATCTTGCTCAGTCTGAAATGTCCGGTGTTGTGTTTTTAGACTTGCTCGTCATTTTTCATTCGTCTTTTTGTAATTAGTGGCTTGGTCATGGCGTTGTCTATTTGTCTTACTCTTATAGTTTTTGATAGGCCCTTGGCATCTTTCCCCTATTTTACTCACTGTCTCACAATAAACGACCTTGAAGTAATGGAAATGGTATTTTTGTTGTTCTACGTAACCATATGTAAAAAATCTTTCCGAAATTACTATCCATGAATGTTTGTTTTTTGATAAATTAACTGAAATAAAATTTGGAAAACATTAATTACCTGATAAGTCAAATCTAAATTATCTTCTGTTGTGACTGAAAACAAAGATATTCGAAATTATAGTTCATTAAAACGAATGTACAAGCAATAATGATTTTATTTATGAGATCAGTACAGATAGACCAGATTACAAGTAGAAACATAGGGATTTGCACAACTTTCAAAAGTGATAAAGGACGTGTGTGCGTAGACAGAGTAAACGTCTCCTGCTACAAACTCCTCAATTGTCGAACAATTTTAAACTCCTCTCCAGGAGTAAGGTTGAAGACGCGGCATCATAACATAAAGCCCTTCACCTGTTTCGGTTCTTATAAATCCTTGGCTTTCAAATGCTCGGCTTTGAAAGTTCCAGATGAAGGTAAATCTAGAATAGCTAAAGGCTCATTTTCATTTTTGTAATTAACCAATGTTGGCACTATAATAAGTTGGTATATAGGGAGTAAATATGTCTCAAGTAAACTTGTTTTCACTGAAACACATTACGATCAGCCAATTCGTTAGTTAAACTATATAATTTTAAAGTTGCGATGTCCGGAATAAGACAGCTGTCTCTCACCTGTAGTTTGAGATGTTACTATATGATTGATTGCTCTGTTTTTTTAAACGTAGACAAGCAAATGCAAGTTTTACATGAATAACATTGTTCTCTCTTTTTTAACGTAGCTTCCTCATTGATCGACCTATGAACACACGATCCTTATGTTGCTGTTTATAAATAGGAAGCATCATGCCACGAAGGTTCTTACATCTCATATCAATACGTACCTTGATGTGGAGAATAAATTCCGGCATTACATATCAGCAAATTCAACTTTTTATGTTTTGCTTTGAAATTGTCTATAAATGCTTTGGTTGACTTCAGAGATGCTAAATCTAGTTTCATAAATTCTATATCTAACTCATCATCGGTTATTACATTGTCTATCCGTAATTGTTTTTCTGTTTGAAATTCGTCATTCATTCTTCTCATTGCCTGAAGGAAAAGTAATTTTTTCAATAAAGTCAAATCATACGTATAAACTCACTTGCATACTTTAAGCAGGGATTTCGCGATAAAGATCAAATCGGAAAAATACTCCTTCGCATAAATTTAATCTAAGAAAGATAAGTAAAGGTATGGTCATAGAAGTCGCTAAAAAAACATCTGCGAGAATATAACACTTACAGTAAAACTTTTCCACTACCGCGAAATACGACGGGTGTCACAAAAAACTGTGATGAAACAGGATATGGTTATCCTTCCGAAAACCTGATATCACTTCCGGTTTTAATTGGAGTTGTTACCACCTTTTGTAGTTCTAAGTGTTTGCAGTTTATGAACGTTCTTTCTTGTGTTTTCTATCCGAACAGAGTTGAGCGTGACTGTTTTCTTTTTCTTTTTATCATTTTTTGCATGTTACGCGCAACATTCAAATATTTAAATGGCATGCTGAACCTTCATCCTTCCGGCCAAAAAGGTGTGGGTTGTTACATTAATTTGTACAAAATGTTTTCCTAATATATAAATATAAGAAGATAAGACTTGAGGTCAATGAGACAGCAACAAAACGACACAAGTTAATCAAATTTTATATCTAGAGGTCATCATACGGTCTCTCACTATAGACAGGCCAAAATAAAACGACAAACTCTGAATTAACCAGAGTGTCGTCTATTATGCCTGTGTAACATTAACTATATAGATAAGATGTGGTATGAGTGCCAATGAGACAACTCTCCATCCAAGTCACAATTTGTAAAAGTAAACCATTATAGGTCAAAGTACGGCCTTCAACACGGAGCTTTGGAGTACGGAAATAATTTTTACAAAATAAATAATTTTGCTGTTCCTAGTATACCCATATATCTGATAAAAAAGATACAAGACTGTCCATACATAAAATCAGCAATAACCATTGACATTTCCGGCTTGAAATATGCACATCGCCTTTTTTTTTATACATACAATATGATACGGGTTGCTTATCATTGAAGACCTAACGGTAACATGTGTCAATAACAATCATACCCCAACTCTTTATTTTTTTTTAAATAATCATACGTGTTGTGGGTGGATTTAACTTAAATCTTAAGTTATAGATTCTGTGTCAAATGGTGAGAGGGTGTGGGTTTACCAAAATAGTCTGCCCCGTAACTTTCGTGATAATTTTTAGTCCTACAGTGAAAACAAATATTCCTCAAAATTTTACTCATTACTTCACTCAATATACTTTTTACAAAGCAGTTTTACAAAATATATTTTAACGCAAGATTGCAAAAAAAAAAAAAAATAATAATTACGCCTGAGATTTCAGCACTTCTTTCATTTGAATGGTGCTTAAAATGATAGGAGTTATTAAACAACTATCAGAGTAAATTGATAAAATAATAGCACAATCTATTTGGAACGTGCGAACCTGCAATAAATCATTTAATGCAAGTACTAAATAGAATTATAAGAAAAGCATGCACAAAACTACAAACAATATGTCCTTTGCTTAAATGTTAGCATCTGTAATATGTTCATGTGATCTGTTTTGTTTATCTGTATCTAACAAATAGTGACCTTTTTTTATAAAAATCATACTAAAACTTCTTAAACCAGGCTATTTTGTTTACCAACAGCGGACTGTACAAGCTGGTACAAAGACAAATTATGAACTACATTGTTTTAATATTTAGCTATGGAAGCCAATTCCGAACGTTACATAGATTTATTAATCTTCTGCTTGCGTGTTCCTTTTAAATAAATCTAAATCTATTCAATCTTTTAATAAATAAAAAAGATTACGAATAGTACTAGACGTGTGAAATTATCATGACATTATTTTTAAATAGCAAACTAAACAAATAATTTTGAGATCTGATATTGCGTCAGGTTCGTAACCATTGCAATTAGATATTATCTCCAAAGACTGTAGGTTGATATTAACATCAAATATGGAATAATGCTTTGTGTTTTATTACCCGCTGTGGTATGACCGACGACCTTTCATCTTAATTGAATTTTCGAATCAATTTGACTGAACATTTACGAGTTTTAAATGTGCTCCTAAAACATACTGCTGTTAGTATACGCATCATTCGTCTACGCAGTGATGGATAAATAATTCGGAATCTTGCTCTCCTGGAAAAATAACTTTAAAATGACGTAGACTGGTAATAATTTTACGGTCTTCATTGTGAAATATTTTACTTTAAGTAGCAACTCAACATTTTCAATGAAATTACGCAATTAACAAAGTTTCTATTTTTGATGGAAAACGTTTTTACTTCCTTTTTCAGCTAAAAATGGGAATAAACAAGAGGTATTTAAAGTACGTTAGGATATACCGAATCGACTTTGTTAAAAAAAAGATAAGAAAGTCTGCCCATGTGGTCAATACAAAAAAGAAAAAAATAATAATAGCAATAACACATGTGAACAGGTCTTCATTTATGTCGCGAAAAACGAGAAATACACTTAGCGATCCTAGATTATGTCGTCGTCTGCATCAACATTTAGTTACAGTCCAAGATTAAAGTTTTTCAGTCATCAATTACTTTATCAAATCCTTATTTATGAGATTCGGACAGAACTTTTTTTATAACCAAAGACAGTATCTTGAGCAAAATGCTTAAAATAGTTATTTTCTTTATTCCGCCAGTAAGCTCAATTTGCGACAATCAAATCGCCAACTGATGCCTGCAAATCTTCAAGTATAATATGTTATCTCCTAAATATTTTGACAAAATGATAACGATTGTAAACAAGAGTAATATGCACTCACATCTCTAGCCTTTTCTTCTGATCTACATGCTAAAACAACATGGGCTCCCATCATTGCTATAAATTTGGCAGTTTCATATCCAACACCTACAATAAAAATGACAATGCGATTTGAATTGTGTACGAACCAATTAGTGTATCAAATATTGAGTTACAACTTGCTTATATACAATACTTGTACACAATATATGTAAAGGAGAAGGAACCAACACTACAGTGTGGATGAAAAGAAAGACACACTTGCAAAACAGTAGGTCACACTAAAAACTATCGCTTAGACCAATTCGAAAGTTCACCAGACTTGAAGAGTAACGTATGTTTGCTGTTCAACATCATATTCCAAATCCACGCATTAAATAATAATTTTACTCATTTTGTATAGGGGCCCTCGGTGTCCGGGTGGTCCGGGATTTCCAGCTTCCTCCACAAATACAAACTGGTCGCCATGATATAGCCAAGTGAACAGAAAGTTGCGTATAACACCAACGATCAATCTATCATTATTTGGATAGTGTTTTGGCGATTATTCTTATCACAGATTTTTAAATAAGCTTAGACTGATATGTACTGGAAAAATGACATAGAACGTTGCTGAACTTCAAGAAAATTAGCAAACGGATAATTGATTTAACAAGAATTTACAATTACCTTAATCTATAATGAATTCGTTTCAGGTATGTATGTTATCAACATGAAATGCATACCAGCAGGAAAATCCTTATAAAACAACGAAGGATCAATAAAAACCGAATGGATATCAATAGTGTTATACGTAAAGTTGACACAGAGAAAGCATATCGATACATGAGGGTCTGGAAAGGGGAGGGGGGGGGTCTTCATTTCTGTATTCTTTAAAAATGGTAAAGCTATTTTTGTCTATTCTTTACTTTTTGGCTATGCTCACAATCCCTCTATTCATTATATTTTAGTTCCCCATTATTCTCTGTTTTGTTACTTTGAGTCCGTTTTTCTCTATTCGTTTTTCTACCATTATGCCTTATTCGATAATTCCCATGCACACATCCTCATCAAAGGAGAAATGAAGCTCACTTTTTACTCAATTCCAGTTGAGAAGGAAGTGATTTGTGCGTATTACAACATAAGCACAACCTATAAGGAAACATTTTTTTGTAGTTAAGGCGATCAATCACATAAAAATGTCATGAGTATTCTTTTAATAATGGTTAAGTAAAGATAAAGTCTGGTAATTATTATAACATTGTTAAACTAGACCAATGAATAATGCAAGCAGATTACTTTTTTTTTATCAAAGAATATAGACCAATTATCAATATTGCTTTTGATAATATTCTTGTTTGTGTAATGGTTTTCTTTGTGTATAGGAATGTACATATGTTATTACCACCTAAATAGTTATTATATACAATACTTTACGTCATCTTTTAAAACAGTACATACTACCATACGGTATGGGTTTTTCTCATTGCTGAAGGTCGTACGGTTGCCTATAATTGCTTACATCCACTTCATTTGAACTTTGGTGGATAGCTGTCTCATTGGCAATCATACCACGTCTCCTTATTTTTTTACTAGATATATTTAAGATTCAAATTATATCATCAGATATATATCAATAAGAAATGTATTCTTCGACATAAAGTATTAAAGCAGGTTTTAGCGGCAACTAACTGACAAAGTTTTTCATTTCTAAATGAAGATACAAACTTTTTGTCATTACACAAGTTATAAAATTAATCCTATGTTTTACTGCTACAATGTACAATATATATATTTCGATGGTGCGTGAAATATTTGCCGCTTGACGTTAAGCAAAATGCAATCAATTAATCATATGATTTTAGTTAAAATTTGAAATTTTTATTCATATGAACTTATGTACGTACATTTACTCTCTTATTAAAAAAATCATTATTGTTTACTTATATAAAAATTAAGTGGTATGATTGCCAAAGAGATATCTATCCATTAGAGTTCAAATAACTTGTATATAAGCAAATATAGGCCACCTTACGGCCTTCAACAACGAGAAACCCCATACCGAATAGTCAGTTTTAAAAGGCCCCGATATGTGTAATGTGAAACAATTCAAACGAGAAATATAACAGCCTAATTTATACAGGCGGAAACCCAGTTGAAATAGAACAAAAGAATCGAAGCTCTTTGTTAGAGAAGGCGATAAATGCTTACTGTAATGTTTACTGTAGTAACACAAATTTTAAAAGTTAATAGAAACAAATAAAATGACAGTTTTTTGCTAAATTACGAAATATTTTATCATAAAAACACAATTTGCATAAGTTTTCAATTTATCTATTACATAATTAAGCAGAACAATTAGATATCAAGTCGACGACATGGGTGTCTATTAAGTTGGATCTAAAAAATGCATAACCTCCGATTTTTCAAAAAATTTTACCACGGACGGAAAACATATCAATCTATTTGTTCCTTAATTTTCGTTTCTGCCCTTCCATTATGTGACTCAAGAAAAAATTCCAAAAAATGGGCAACAATTGCATCGAAAAGAGAAAATCGAGTGCACCTTTTTATGTTAGGGCGTGTTTGAGTTGAATATTTTGTCTTGAAAACGTAAAAAGCAAAAGTATTTGATACATCATCTCGCTTCAGATTCTATCATTTTTATATATCAAGGCTACAGGTTGACTTTATAACATCGAAAATTCACAGTACTAAAAAAATGAAATATATAGGTCAAGTGAAATACCTTTCTAATGAATCATAATAGCAGAGTAGGTGTGTTCGAATAGCAAATTTTTACTAAAAGTACTTGACGACAGACTTTTAAGTTGGATCTTAAAAATGCATATCTTCGAAAAAACTTCATTTTTTGTGTGTGATATCTAGGGTTTATAGTCTTCAACCACTGAAAATTTTTAGTCTGCCCTTCCACGAAATATTGAATTAGAATTTTTTTAAATGTTTATGAATTTTCGAAAATTCCACCTGACAACCGATCAGACAATAGTTATAAGTAGACTGAATGCAGACACTAACTGATGTTCGTTAGCTAGTAGATACATTTGTCTTTTAAAATACAACTGGCATATAAGGATCGTAATGGTGCTATGCGGATAAATTTATCGGTTTTCAAGAGCTAAATTGGCAGCGCGTCATCCCTACAATGGCTTCCATTTTTACGATTGTAAAAATGAACTGGCGTAATGGGGAGATAATTTTGACGAAGTAGAATCCTGACTGTATAACAGTACAATATACAAAAACTATTATGATAGGCATTCAACAACGACAACCATTGAATAACAGGCTCCTGACATAAAGAATGTGGCGGATTTAAACATGTCTGTGAGCCTTCAACCCCCATCCCCACTAGCCTAGGACAGTAGTGTACATGTAACAGCACATCATAAGAACAATCTGTAAATTTTTTTTAGTTACAAATGGATTTTTATGTCTTGTTTTATTCTTATAAGACATAGAGAAATATTTCAGAAAAATAGGACAGAGTCGTGTTCGCGTGTATTTTTAATGTTAATATAATATTTATTTTCTACCAGATATTTAATTACCATCACGTGGTATTTAAAATCCAGAAGGCAAAGATAACAAATGTTATGAATTTAGCATTTATGACGTTTATAAGGGATAATTAAATATTTTATAGTCATTGAAACTTCTCATCTTAATGGATTGTATAAAACCCTAGAACCATGCCAATCAGGACTCTAATGATTTTTTAATCCAGTTCTAACAGGATTCCCAATACATTTACATTACAGTTGATAAGTCTTATACTGAACATTCACAAGAAAACGAAACTTTTTTTTAGAATTATCAAGAATTTCTTTTTGGAACTTTTTCAAGAATGAAAAAGAATTTCCTTTCGGAACTTTTTGAGAATGAAAAAAAATTCTGCACAAGATTTTTTACCAGAAAAAATTATCCTAGTGTGTATGTACCACCTTTAATAAGTTGAATCAAGTTTAAATTTCATAACTGGTGTGATTTTTAATGACCCCTCTGTGATCCGTCGTCAACAATCAGTAGTTAAAACATTTTAATATTTATACTATTACAGGTTCAAAAGTGGGATGAATAATTGAAAGATTTTAAATGTCTACATTGATGTAAAGGTTAACTACCATTTTATTTGTATAAACTACATATTTGGATGGATATAACTTTCATTTAATTTTAAATTTGATTTAATAATAGGAAGACGTAATTCAATCGTGCATATATATATATATATATATAAAACTCAATATAAAAGAAGCCCCCTGGCCATTGAATACATAAAACGTATCTGCAACATGCTTTTGGTGGGGTTTATGTCGCTAAATCTTTAGTTTCTATAGCCATACTGTAGTGTTTTGTGGATATGTTCGTCTTTTCGTCGTTTTTCATTGTTAGCCATGGCGTTTTCTGCTTCCGAATGTCCCCTTGGTATCGTCCGCCTCTTTTTTACGAGGAATACATAGAAAGAATAAGAATACAATGAAAGCTGATTCGGCATATTCCGAAACTCAAACAGCTGTTTCTCATGTCAACGTTTTTATTTAACAGAATAGGTGCTGTCCTTGCAATCCGATATGCAAATTGATACCATTCACTTTTATAAAATCGATTTGACAAAGTGTGTCAAATTCGAAAGTGACAGGTAAAAATACTAATCCAAGATACCAAGCTTATAATTTTGTCCGCCAGACGCGCGTTTCGTCTATACAAATGACTCATCAGTGACGCTCGAATAAAAAAAGTTAAAAGAACAGACAACCAAACATTGAATCAACCGTGTGCTTCCTCAACATTTCACACAAGACAAACTTTCTGAGACTAATACTAGTAGCCTACTGTCTTTGATTCTGTGGGTTGAGGAGCATTAAATCATTAGTTTGATATAAAATACTATCGTTGAAATTCCATATTAAACTACTTAGGGGCGATCCTCTTAAAGTTAGCCCTCTTAGAGAGACCGTTGCAGACATACTTACAGAGCTTCTTATAACATTTAATTGACCTTTCTTGAGTTTTTCGAAATAAACATACGCTCTTTGTCATTTGATTGATTTTACTGATAATTAGTATATTTATCTTGATTTGAATTCCTTGCAAAAAAATTTAGT